CCCCATCTTCCCAGATTTCCTTAATGCTCCCTGAGTGTGCATGCACCCCCCACCCCCATCTTCCCAGATTTCCTTAATGCTCCATGCGTGTGCATGCACCCCCCCACCCCCATCCTCCTAGATTTCCTTAATGCTCTGTGAGTGTGCTCACACTCCCCCCATCCTCCCAGATTTCCTTAATGCTCCCTGAGTGTGCATGCACCCCCCCACCCCCATCCTCCCAGATTTCCTTAATGCTCCCTGAGTGTGCATACACCCCCCCATCCTCCCAGATTTCCTTAATGCTCCCTGAGTGTACTTGCACCCCCCACCCCCATCCTCCCAGATTTCCTTAATGCTCCCTGAGTGTGCATACACTCCCCCATCCTCCCAGATTTCCTTAATGCTCCCTGAGTGTACTTGCACCCCCTACCCCCATCCTCCCAGATTTCCTTAATGCTCCCTGAGTGTGCATACACCCCCCCACCCCCATCCTCCCAGATTTTCTTAATGCTCCCTGAGTGTGCATGCACCCCCCACCCCCATCCTCCCAGATTTCCTTAATGCTCCCTGAGTGTGCATGCACCCCCCACCCCCATCCTCCCAGATTTTCTTAATGCTCCCTGAGTGTGCATGCACCCCCACACCCCCCATCCTCCCAGATTTCCTGCAGTCATGCACAACCATGGGAGTAATACTGGTATGCACTATAAGCACAGGTGAATGGGTTAAGACCAATTAATTCTGGCATGCACTATAAGCACAGGTGAATGGGTTGCTTCCTGCCAGAGTGCTTTAGAGTTGGCGCATAACAAGCAGTTCTCTCCCTTCCATCGCCACAGTGAATCAGTCACTAAGGAGGCCACAGTTACAGAGAGAGCTACAACATGGCGGAGCCTATATTAACAGGAGGCCTCAAGAGCAGAGCCATCAGATTGTTGCAAATATACACAAATATTCACTGTAAACAAAAAGTCAACTTTTGTTGAATTAAGCCAATGAAACTGGAGTTAATGTGTTACTGCAGGCATCCGAACCTCTCCTAACTCGAATAATCCTTTTTCAGATAGTAATTGTAGTGACTCCCCATTCACTGTCCCCAGAGGACATCGTGCATCCCTGTGGTTAGTAATCTGGCCAGGTGCCTCCACGTTCTTGCTTGCTTCCCTCCAGGTGGCCTGAGTATTGCAAAGATGGCTGGATTCCTGTTACGTGGTCCTCTGGTGAGGCTGTGCTTGGGCCTGGTATGTGTCCTGTCCCTTTGGAACACAGGTGGGTCTGGTCAGAGTTCCAAAAGTGTCCCACATACAAAGTTGGAGTATTCACTGTGCTTAGAGAACCTTAGCAGCCAACATTTCTGCCCAGAATCCTAAATGAATTTGATCCGGACGGCAATAATAGATTCCCCAGTTTTGTTGTTTTCCCCTGACTGTCTGAGTCCCATTTACACAGTAGAATTGTCTTCCCCTCTGCAGTTAACACCCTGTCCACACCGTCATTTCCTTTTTCTAGACTATGGAGAAAACTGTCTTAATCAGCTTCTCTTCTTGTCTCTTCAAGCTCTGCTCTCCACTTATCAGCCTGAGTGATGTTTCATTCCGTCACCTTCCAGGTTCCTCTCTCTCGTCTCTCTCCTGCCCCAAATTATTCATTGACTTCCTCTTCCTCTTCACGTAGTGTCCCCAGTGTTTTACAGACCGGCCCTGTAGGACCCTGGCTGCCCTGTCATCACCATTCTCTCAGATCTCCACCTTCTCCGGCCTTGCCACTCCATCACTGCCTTTCAATTCTCTAAAGCAGCGGTTCTCAACCTTCCTAATGCCGCGACCCTTTAATACAGTTCCTCATGTTGCGGTGACCCCCAACCATAAAATTATTTTCGTTGCTACTTCATAATTGTAATTGCTACTGTTATGAATTGTAATGTAAATATCTGAGATGCAGGATGTATTTTCATTGTTACAAAGGGGTCATGACTGGGTGCCGCTGTGGCTCAAAGGAGTAGGGCGCCAGCCCCATATGCCAGAGGAGGCAGGTTCAAACCCAGCCTTGGCCAAAAACTGCAAAAAAAGGGGGGGGTCATGACCCACAGGTGGAGAACCGCTGCCCTAAAGTGATGCTCAAGCCCAGCTCATATGCTGGGTATGTGCTGTTCTGTATACATCCTATACTCCCTCAGCCAGTAAAATCCTACTTAAATACTACTCATCCTTCAAATCCCAGCTCAATAGCTCCTCCCAGTTCCCGATTCCTGAGACTAGCTCAGACTTCCTTTTAGCCACTCTCACGGTTGCCTTTAAGTGTTCGACACTGTTTATGGTTACATCCTTGGGTTCATTTCTCTCGTGTCTGCCTTCCAAACACACACACTGACCAGCAATTCCTCAGTGCTCTACAACATCACCAACCATTCATTTTGTTATAGTTGGTCAATAAGTATTTGCTAACTACATGATTAAATGAATGAACAAACTAGATTTGGGATTTTAAGCAGGTCACTTCACAAATCCAGGTCTTCATTTTCTCACCTATAGAATAGGTATTTTGAATTAAACTCTCTCTGATGCTATGTCTGGGTTATAATTTCTCTGATGAAACCTGTTTTGCTTCACTGGTGCTAAAGGAGAAGCCAAGAAAGAAAAGGGACTGGCCTTCCTACCTACACCAGGTAAACGGGCAGGGGCTCCTCCCTGGTTCACCCTGTTCTAGAGCAATTTCCCTGATGTCTCTGAGTCTCGTTTTCTCCAGCCATTAATGGAAGTGGGGTCTATATCTAATGCTCTAACAAGCACTGTAATAGCTCCTACAAGCGGCTTTTTACTTTATGGTTCATTGACTACCTGGATTCTCACGATCTTATTAAACCCACAAGGACCGTGACATTCTCCTGAGGGGAGGAGGTTTTGGCAATGGGAGGTATTGTTATTGGCCATCATCACCTTGGTAATCCTTTCATCTTTCCTTGCTATTCCTTTTGGGTGGTATGAAGTTAGCTGTGCAGTGAGATGGTGAATACACGGCAGCAGAAAAAGAGGATCAGGGACCAGGTTTCTGTCCCTAAATTGTTGGTAAACAACAGGATGATTTTATGGTATGCTTTTGGGTTGGGAGGGGAAATCATTACTCTTTACTTTTAGGACTTTATTTTTAATAAATACATTCACGTGGTTCAAATAGCAGAAGTTAGAAGAGTGTTTATGGTTAAAATGCTCCGTCAGCCGTCCACTTCCCTTTCTCTGGGATGCCAGTTGCTCCAATGTATTGTGTATAAGCATTTTCCATAATGTTTTTATCTGATCCTCCAAACTTCTCTTTAAATGGGAACGATTTAAGGTTCTGCTCCACAGGTTATCATAAAGGACAAAAGGTAATAAAATACTAAGCATGGAGAAGTATAACAAATGCCAGGTATCTTCCATTTTAAAGATGCTACGATGGTGGTCTTTTCATCCAAAAATAGAACAGGGGCTTTATATGCTCTGTCTGGCAATTCAGTTTTTTATAAAATACTTCCATGTTACCTACTATTCCAAAACCTGGGCTTCAAAGGTGTATGGCTCACAATGCAAATACTGTTTCCAAAATCCACCCAAGAATTTGTAATTAGAAGAAACAGTGGTAGAAATAATGCTTTCTTTGGTGGAAGGAGTGGGGTGCAAGAAAGGTGCTTGGAAAGAAAGATTGCACAAGGCGCAACATTCAGTCTGGAAAGACACGGGAATCCCACAAGCCCCACAGCCAACAGCATCCCTGCAGCCTGGAGATCCAGAGCTCAGATGATCCTGGGTCCTTGGCCTGCATGGAGGACTCTGTTGCCCAGGCAGGCGACAAGCAAGATTAATAGTGCCACCCACAGATCTTACCACAGCTACTCCCTTGGGTCCACTACCACTCAGGGATGGCACCTGCAGGGACAGAGCTGGCCTCCTCCAAGCTAGGGACCCAGTTGATTGACAGACGCACTTAATGACTGATGTCTATCTTAGACTTTCTTTTGTTGTAACATAACCCCTTGTTTTGGTAGCCCTGTTGTGGGGAAAGGAATTTATAGTCCCCACCTCCCTCTGGCTCCAGAAGTTTTGATGTCTGATCAAAGAGCTTGTTAACTGATAAAACTGACTTGACCTCAGTTTCAACAGAATTCTTGAGAAGCAAGGAGAACTACCTAGAAGTCATTTGCTAATGGATGAGTGGATAAAGGGAATGTGGCTCAGATATGTGCACAGTATATTACTATTCAGTCTTTTAAAAAAGAAGAAACATTGCCATGCTCAATAACATGGAAGAGCCCGGAGGGTGTTAGGCTGAGTGACGTGTCAGTGACAGAAGGACAAATACCTCTTACAAGAGGTCTCAAGAATAGTCAAATTCACAGGACAGAGTTGAAAGGTGGTCACCGAGGGTGGAAAGGAGGAGGAATGGTGGATTGAGTGTGTTGTTCAACAGGTACCAAGTTTCAGTTATGCAAGGTAAGTCCTAGACGTCCGCTCCATAACACAGGGAGTGACAATCCTGCAGATGCACTGAAAAATGGGTTCAGAGGGAAAATCTCATGTCAGGTTTTCTTACTAAAATAAAATAAAATAAAAAGCAAGGGAGAATAATATGGACAAAGAGCTGAGATACCTGTGTTCTAAATTCATTTTAGCCACTAGCCTAACGTGGGAGTTGAGTACATCATTTAACTATTGGGGGTCCTGGCTTACTCATCCTTTGAAGAGAGTGACGGACAAAATGATTTCTAAGGATGTTATGAATTGTGTGAGGCTGTACTTCCGGGATACTATCTTACTCATGAAAACTTTGATTTCAGTGTTTGGGAATAAAGATGTTAAGAAAGAAGATGGCGGGGCTTTCCTTGGTATAACAGGTAACTAGGCCAGCCCTAAATCCTGACCTACTCTGGAACTCTGGGCACAGTTTTCAGACTCTGTGTCTTGGTTTTTTCATCTATATAATGGACATAAAGCACATTCTTCCTCTGAATGTAAAATGAAAAATAATCATTGCAACAATAGTAATCAATGCAGTATAATTATATATTGTCTGATCCAAAATAACTGACTTTTCTGCTCTCAGATGGATGCCACTTCACAAGGAGCCTTCCCCGTGTCCCTACACAGAGTTAGTGCCCTGATGGAGGCTCTCACAGCACCCTGGAGTAACATTCCTCACCTGTCCCTGCCCTGACCCTGACTCTCCTCCCTGACAAAATCACAGACAGGAAGCTCTCTCAGCCAGAGACTTGCCTCTCTCCCACTAACCACTTTATAACCCGTGGCTAGTGTGTTACTCGGCCCCCAGTGAGTAGCTGTTGAACGAATGAATGAATGTCTCCGATATTTCAAAAAAAATTTGACACTTTTTTCTTTGGTAGCATGAAGGTTGCCAACTGGCAAGAGGCCGAATAATTTGGCCACTGTGCTGCAGTTCTCAGGGGCAGGTTCCAGGCCCTTCCTTACCTCTGCTCAGTTGTGCAAATGCAGGCACTCTGCTTCTCTCTGAGCCCCAGCGTCCCAGCCTAGTAGAGGAGTGGGGTGGATCACGCCCCCTGCCTTGGAATCACCTTGCGTTATTTATTGAAATGTGGCTTTCCAGTCCACAACCTGCCCAAAGACAGTAGGGTTAGGAAGAGGGGGAACAGGGCGTCCCGAGCCTGCCTTTCCTCAGTGTCCCTGGATTCTGACACTCCTAGGCTAAGAGCTGCGGGAGTGGTGGCCTTGAGGCCTCTTCAGCTCCTGGGCTAGGATTGGAGACCCACATTTCTCTCATGAAGCCTTTTCCCTCGGCAGGGTCTGGCCTCAGAGGAGGAGAGAGGAAGGAGAAGGCGGTGGCATTTCTCGCTACCACAGGTGAGCCCCTCCCCTATCCCATGGTGGCCCGGGCTGGGGATTAGGAGCAGACTCTCCCACTACCCTTGACCTCTGTCCTCAGTGCCCTCAGTAGGGGAATCTCTCCGGTCATTACTTGAACAGTAAGTAACAGTCGAAAAAGACAATCTTTGTAAACCTATAAAGGGGCGCATTGGCATCCATCTCCACCTTGTCAGCTGGGCTTTTATCTTTTCATGTTAACCCTGGACCCACCTTGTCAGCTGTTGTTTCTAAATTTTCAAGGAGTAACTAGGAATTGCAGGGGGCAGATTTTAGCCCAGCAGTGTTTCTGCACTCGGCTGTACACTACCAGCTCCTGGTGGGGCTTGTCCCCCTCCTGATGTTTGGATCACATCCCAGACTAATTATATTTAAATCTCCAAGAATGGAGTCCACGTAGGGAAATCATGGAATCTTAACAAATCTTCCCAGAAAATGTCAATGCTTACTCAAGATTTGAGGCTCACTGTTACACAAATACAGAGCTGTTGAGAAATCCTACGAAGCCCTTGGGCTTCCATTACGATGAGATGGTTCCTATAACCTCTAGGGTTCTCTCCAACTAAAGAGATCAAATGTGGTTAAAGGAGTTTCTTGTCCTCCGTTTGGATTTCTCCAGACTCCCTGTGTCACTATGTTGGGTGTCACCTCTTATGGATGAGGACCACCTCTTGCCTTCCATCCCTTGTGCCTGGCACTTGGCGTGTGTTCAGCCCACGTCCAAAGAGCAAGTGCATCTCGGAGGTTTGGAAACCAGGGACTTTTTCTGTTGCTGAGACAAGCCTGCCAGTGATGTTATCTTTGAATCTGTTTCAGAGCTACCTGCAAGGTCGATCGATCTGTCTGCACTTAACCTGACAGAGCTCGTGAATGGGATGTTGAGCAGAGCTTTAAAAGGTAATCGTTTTTTAAAGCACAATCTGGGCCCCTTTTGTCTTGTACCAGCTTCTCTTTTAAACCTCATTTTGACCTGGAGAAGACACACGGCCGCTCTGTGTCTCTGTTGCTCCATGTTCAGAGTGGAGAACACATTGTCTTCCCTATGTCAAGATGAGACTGAAAACATCCAAATGAAGTAGAAGACTTACGGGCATCTTGAGAGCCAACAGCATTCCTCACATGGCATGGGTGCAGATGTTTGTAATCATAACTTTATTGCTGTAAAGTTCCAAGAAGCATTCGCTGATTGAGTTAATGTGATTCTGGATTTCTGAGTGCCTACGGTATTATTCTAATCTCCTTTCTATGTTCTCATGACTTGTAGGAAAAGACTTTATATGTAGTGTGTACCAAATGAATGACTGAGAAGCCTAGGGCACACTCCTTAGTTAAACTCCACTTTGTTCAGTAAGTATCTTTGGAGCACCTATCACATGCCAAGTACCATTCTAAGTATTGGGGAGCAAAGCAATGAATAAAGGATAAAACTCCCTGACCTGGGGAAGCTTCCACTCCAGAGGGTGGAAGAGTGGCAGAAAGTAAACAGTATGAGTAATGTATAGGTAACCAGGAGGGTGGAGAATGCCTTTCAGCACTGTCACCTATGGGAACGGCATTTCCTAGGATTGTGCAGTATACAAGCTGTGCAACTGTGCTTGGTGGCCTCACACCTGTTTGCACGGTTATTTACTCATCAATATTGTTTGATGGGCTATTCATCCCCGTCCCAATGCCTAAAGCTGCAGTCACAAAGATAGGGCCCTTGCCTCCAGTCTGCTCATGAGAGTCGCATTGATAGCACTGCCTTGGAGGTGCACAGTAAGACGGTAGTGGTCTGCCTCTAGGGGGTAATGTGGAGAGGCTGAAGCATCAGGCAGAGGCTGATCTAAACAGCCTCACCCTCCTGGCCCTGGATGCTTATCAGTTGTGTTCTTTCCCCTGCCAGGCCTCATGCTGGATTCTGCAAAATGCTGCAGACTCAAAAGTCGTAACTTGTACCTTTAAAAAGCTCAAAACATTTCTGGCCACTAATTAATCCTGGTGTAACCCCATGAGGTGGCACTGCCATTCCCATTCTATAGAGGCAAAAATTAGGGCATGTTCATTGCCAGGTAGAATTAGAATCCAGGTCTGTTTAACTGCAGGCTGTGATCCAGCCCAGACTTTCTGCATGGTAAGAAACACCTGAACTGCTTATTAGATACACAGCTCCCCAGATCCTTGCCCCTGAGACTTTGATCCAGTTGATCTTGGAAGGAGCCCAAATGTGCATTATCTCCAGGTGCTTTTGGTAATTTTTACCACCAGAAAAACATGAAAAACCTGAGTCTGAGGCTATTCAACATTGGCACTTGCCTCATTCTTCCAAAGAGGCTTATATTAATAAAAACAGCACCAGGGCCCCACCAGCGTTTGGCCCTGGTGCTTTATAAGGATGATAGCAGGGAGCCTGCGGGAATGGGTGCTGCTGGGGATCTGGACACACCAAAGCTTAATGGTTCTTCCATTTCAGCAACTATCTCAGTAGGTCACAAATTTGCACAAGTAAAAAAATCACCTGAGGACTTTGTTAAAATTTGGAATCCTAGGGGTTACTCAACCCTCCTCTTTCTCTCTGATCTGATTGAGTAGTTCTGGGTTCACACCCAGGAATGTGCCTTTTTAACGAGGATGCCCAGTGAGCTGATGCAGGTGGCTGATTCTCAGACCTTCCCTCACCACACTGCTTCCCGGACATAAACCGAGAGCAGGCATTAAGTGTTGGTATGATGCCCATCCATCTGTTACCGAGCCTGGCTGTTCATGTTAGTACTCCTTGTCTAAAAAAAAAGTTTCTGTTTTACCTTGTCTAGCAGTCCACACAAAGATATTCATTTCATAATTGCCAGAACCTGTGGATACTACCTCATACGTCACAAGAGTGACGATTAACAGGGCAACAGATGTGATTAATTTAAAGATCTAATCATGAGATGAGGAGATAATTAAGGATTATCTGAGTTGTGCCAAATGCCATCACCAGGGTCCTGATGAGGAAGAGGCACAGAGAGACACACAAAGAGGAAAAGGTGATATGAAGATGGGGCAGAGAGACGTGGCCACAAGCTAAGGGATGTAGGCAGCACCAGAGCTGAGAGACAAGAACAGACCCCTCCCCCGCAAGAACCCCTGAAAGGAGAGAGAATAAACTTCTAAAGTTTTCAGCCACTCAGTTTGTGGTAATTTGTTACAGCAGCCTCAGGACCCACACCTGGGACTCTCATAGGAGTTGCTACAGCTTAAGAGTGAATCAGGAAATACCACCAAGGGACCCCAGTTGGGTCGTCAGGCTTAGCTTGATTTTAGTTTATCATTTCTCATGTTTATCATTTTACAGTTTATTTATCATTTGCCGATTGTTTCATTAATTTGTATTATCTATTTGCGGGCTCACGTCATTGTCTGTCTGTTCCTGCGCTGGTGGCCTTTGTCTGCATCTCTCCCCGATGTCGTTGGCAGACAGCAAGAAGTTCTTCTCCCTGCTCAGCGTCACTTCCTACAGCTCCTTCGCCTTCCACAAGCTGTCTGTGGCCATCTACAACAGTAAGTGCTGGCTGCTCGTCTCCATGCTGGTGCTGGGGGTGGCGGCGGCGGCCGCAGGGCCTGCACACAGTCAGGGTCTCTGTGTGAGTCCTTCCTCTCCACAGTTTCTCAACTGAAGACTGTGGACGCTGCCAGGTTCCCCGCGAGGTACTGCTACTGTGTCAGCAATCGGACCAATGACTTATCAGGTGAGCGCGGCTGACTACAAGGCTTGCAGCTTTCCAATTTTGTTTATGACCCGTTAGATAAGTCTGTATTATTTTTTTTCTTCAGAGGAAGACAGGAAAATATGGTGATATCTATTATGCTTTAATATGTGTGCATTTGTTATCCCAGAAAGTTCTTTTTTTGGTTTTACCCTCTGGGTGTGCAGAGGCAAGAAGAAAATGTTTAGAAAACACTTTTTAAAATCACAAAATCTGGAAACAAACTAAATATCTGCCATTAGAAAAATGGCAAATCCACTCTAGAATTAAACTGTGGAAAGCAGACACAGGCAATGTGTTTCTGCGTGAATCGTGGTCAAGTTTGGCCTGAGCACTGAAAAATTCCTAAGAAGTCTTTAATTAGAAGAAGAAAGCTACAAAATAACACAAAGGACATGATATTCTTTATTTAAAAAATACTTATCTAGACACCAGATAGGTGATTACCTCTGAAAAGAAGATTGGAGTGTGTGTTTTGGAGTGGAAAAATGTTGATTAAGGGAGCCTCACAGTGTCTGAACGTTTCTTCTGATGACAGTGTATCCATGAGTTACTTTTATAATTAAAAGTATTACACATTACTTACATTTAGAGAATCCTGACAAATGGAAGAGACAATTGCTTTCTCACTGCTCATTTATCCATTCAGCGATTTTTTACTGAGCCCATACTATGAGCCAGATACTCCCGTAGGTGTGGCAGAGAGCAGGTACCACCCAGCAGAGTGGACACACCTCCCGCTGTCATGGAACTTAGATTTTTAGATGAGAACAAAGAGTATATAAGCAAATGGTATGTGAGCTGAGAGCCTGACCCTGAGGACAGTGAAACAGAAGGAAAGGTGAGGAAGAAAGTCATGGTGAGAAATGTGGCCGTGTGTGGGATGATCAGGACAGTCTCCTGTACGGAGGTGAGGGTCGAGGGGTGACCATCAGGAAGTGGGGGCCCAGCCCTGTGGTTCCTGGGGTCAGTGTTCTAGGCAAATGAGCAGAGTGAGGGCCAGAGAGGACAGCATGGCAGGGGAAGGTGAGCTAGAGAGTCATGGAAATGAACTCAGATTGGTGAGGACGAAGTGGGTCAGTGTTACAGATCATATGGAAGTTTATAGTCCACGGTAAAAATTCTAATTTTCACATGGAATAAAAGGAACAGCTTCCAAGGTCACCTGTGGCCTTCCAGACCTGTAAGTCCCCTGAACTGAATCCAAACTTCACAGAACAAATTCTTTTATTCAAAGTATTTGTTCTACAAAATTTGAATTCAGTCAAAAGGCTGAACTCAAGGATCTGGAAGGCCACATATGGCCCCAAGGCTTCAGGTTCCCCACCCCAGTGAGATAAACTAAAGCTTCCTTCTCGTTTTCCCACTTAATCTAATATTAAAAATATTAAAAATATTTTCCACCATGTTACAAGGTTCATAAATACTTGTGATGGCTATGTGACCTATAAATGCCAGCATTTTCTTAGCCAATATTCTGTTCTTGGACTTTTAGTTAGATTTAGATTTTTCTTTGTATAAATAATCTTACATCAAACATCTTTGTGTGTAAAGCTCTCTCCCCAGCCTAGTGGAATTTCTAAAATAAATAGGTGACACTTATAAAGATAATAGTTACCAATATTTAATGAGTACTATGTGTTAGATACTTCACGGAATAGCTAATGTCCTGTGAATCTCATCAACAAAATAAATGTGAAAGGGAAAAAATTCTTCATAATCATATCTTTCTCACCATTTTATTAGCTTCTTCTGGGGGTGAGATTTTGTGCTGGGTGAGTCCCTTGCCTGATTGTGTGAAAGATAAAAATAAAATTAAAAAAAATCTTATTGCACAAGCCAAAGCATATTTCCACACATTTGAAATAATTGTTTAAAAAGCATTGATCCACAGATAAGTTAACTACTTATAAAATAGCATGCCTTGGCCTAAGGCAGACCTCAGCTGAAATCCAAGCTCTGCCTGGTATGCTGGTCCTTGGGCAAGTTCTATCACTTCTGATGTGGTCAGAGCGTATCATGGCACTGACTCATGCATAGCAGTGCCCGCCTACTTCAGTCAAAGCATGCTACACATTCTGTCAGTTGTCACCTCCCATTTTCCTGTCTCTCTGGATTCTGTATTTTAAACTCAGCTTGCTCCTGTCCCAGCTCATAATCCCCTTCAGGAGTGAAAGAGGTATTTATACCAGGCATGATGGGAAATAATCCAGCTAAACCAAAAAGCTTCCTGTTTCAGAAATCACTTTTTGAGATCCCCAAATCTTGTCTCCTTGTTTTAGCTGGATCCTAGAAAGCCACACACGCATATAGGAGGTATCAGCTCTTTGACTAGAAGTATATCAGGAATTTCACTGGCCAGCAGCACCTGCCATCAAGCAATGGCCCCATTTAAACCCTGCTCAGAAAGTTCACAAAGGTTTTACAACCTGAACTTTCTGAGCAGAGTTTCTGTCTCCCCCCATCCACCCTCTTGGTGAGGTGGGCAGTAGAGGAGGCTCCTGGGGGTCACTTTATGAAGGGCCTGATCTCTTTTGATAGTGTGTACTTGATAACCCACCACTAAATTTAGCATTGAATTTCCAAAATCCAAAATGATGTAAACTTAGATTGCATGTCCATGGGTCTGCTTCCCATCCGATGGATTTGGTGTTTTAAAACAATCAGATGAAATAAATGGGATAGGAGGAACCCAGGGGAAAAAAGCCAGCATTATTCAACAGTGGCTGTTGGGTGTTAGCAGAGAAGGGGTAGAGGGAGAGGATGATGGAGGAAGAAAGGAAATTATAACGGTGGATCAAAAAGTTTCCTGTCTGCCTGGCCTTAAGACTTTCTTTTTTAGAATTAGTAATGTTTCTCTAGTCTATGTAATAGTTGGTAGTTCTCAATACCCTAAACTCAGTTAAACCTGTAAACCTTACTCTGAAGAATTCAAATACAACATACTTTCCCCTTTAAGTTTCTGCATCAGAAATTTCAACCTCCTGAATCTGTCTTGCAGATTTTACAGCCCTACTGGTGGATATCATTGGGAATTCTACCAGCTACCTCACAGAGATTTTTAAATCCACCTCCATCCTCTCAGGTGTGTTCAACTTGCAAATACTCGGCAACGTTGAGGGTTGACGTCGCCGTGGAAGATGATGTAGCTGATTGGATTCCACTCCCAGCCTCTGCCGCAGGCCAGGCTGCTAGGACCTTTAAGCCTTATTTGGATAATCAGTGCAGTCCAGATTCTAACACCAGTATTCAAAATACTAACACCATCTTCCAAATAAAGCTATTCCCGGGGTCCTGAAAATCGGAGGAAGAATCCAAGGCTCAAAATTGGAAGAATCTGGGCAGACTCAAGAGAACAGTTTCTGGTATAGAGCTATGGTCATGTTTTAAGGTAGAGAAAGCTGAGATCCACAGAGGTTGAATATTTTGCTCAAGGTTGGTGTCAGAATTTGGTTTGCAATTAAGAAAGATATACCTCATTTATATGCTGGCTTCATGTAACTGCCAGGCAGAGCATATCCCCCGGGGACCCACTTTTAAAAGTACAGATCCAGCCAACAGCTCAACAGTTGGTCTCAGCAGAAAGATGGTGGGGCTCACTGTGGAGCAGGACTGTCTTCAAAGCAGGAGGAAGGGAGAAAGGATAATGGTTGCTATCACTAGTTAACAGGAAACGTGGCTTTCCACGTATCCCCTCGCCTTGGCCTTCACTACACCTCATGGAGTACCTGCTAGGGTTATTCCCCTGGATGGTGAGGAAACTCTGTCCTAGAGAGGTTACCTAACAAGCTTAGGACCACTCAGCTCTCAGCCCACTCTTAGTCACTGTGCTAATGTATAGAATAATAGTCACAAATTACCACTAACAATAATTGTTATTCTGACTATTTGCCATGCTCTTCTATCTGCTAGGTAACATACTTGGTGCCCCACACATCATCTCAATGTCCTGCTTATAGGGACACACAGCTTCATCTACACTCCTTAAGCACCATCCTCAGGGAGGAGTGGTTTAGAAATTCATAAGTTTCCAGACTTTTGAAGGTCTAATAGGGTATCTCACTATACGTGACCTAACACTTCCCAGAGCACCCAGGGACGCCTACTCTAATCAAACCTGTTAGTGGTTGTTCAGCAAAATGGCCTTTTACGCTAAGTACAGCAGATAAAGACTATAGTAGCCTCACATCTGTCAAGTCAGGTTTTGCCACCAAATGAGTTTTGGTACCAAACTCACACAAAACATTCCATTTTACGGAGATTTTGAGATTTGGGGATTACAGATAAGATATTGTGCAAATTGAATCTTCACCATTTTGAAGAAGGGTAATCTGAGTTCTGGAGCGACCAAGCAGTAGACTCATGTTTGCATAGCTACTAAGTGACAGAGCTGGTGTTGTAAGCTTGGAAACGGACCCCGGGGGTGTCCCTTTCGTCACTTCTTACATCAGCCAACTGAAAGAAAGAAATCCAAAAACCAGAGCTGTGTTGGGAGTAAGGAGTTAGCCTTATTTTCCTATAATATATAAAACTAGGCACTCCCAGCATAATTTTTGTTTGACCCAAAGACTCACAGCTTCAGACCCACTGCTCGGCCTTACTGTGCGTGCTTTGTCTTACAGTGAGTCCAAGCAATGAATCCGACTGCATCTTCATCTGCGTGATGACGGGAAAGTCAGGTGATCCACCAGCCATTCCTCAACGAGCTCTCTGGGCTGAGAATTAGGCACACCCCTCAGCAGAACAAACCTAAGAGTTGATCTCATTACTGTGACTTTTGCAGGAAGGAATCTTTCTGACTTCTGGGAGATGGCAGAGAAACCCCCTGTCATCAATTACACGTTTACCAGTAGTGTGTCTGGCGTCCTGGGTGAGTACCAGAGAAACCCCTTGTTATCAATCACACATTTACCAGCAGGGTGTCTGGCGCCCTGGGTGGTGCTACCTCCCACTCTCCTGCCACGGTCTCCAGACGAGGGTCAGGCCTGGTGCACTCCAGACTGCAGCTGCCCCAGGTGCTTTGTTTAGCTGTGTTGTACCAGAGCTGGGTCCAAGTCCCAGAACCAGGGAGTGGCTGAGGGCTGGAGGTGGGCAGGGACTCTGCCTGGGTTCAGGATCTGCTCCAGAAATGGCCCATGCCCGACACATTCAGGACTAACAGTCTTCCATTCTGTACACCATGATTCAACACACAGCTCTGTTGGAGACCGATAACTTAGCTTAATTTATCATTCAAGGAGAAATACTTCTTTGGGTGGCATTTGGCGTTGTTTGGGATAAGGTTTGGCTCCCTGCCTTCAATGTAATTATCGTCCAGTGACCTTTCTCTGGTTGCATAGTTTTTCATGTCCAAAGTGTCAAGCATGTGAGGCTAGCGTTGCCTGTCTCCCTGAAGGTGCAGCTACCAGGGGGACCGCTGGGACTTCAGGACCCACGACCAGAAGCCTGCAAATACTACCCAGTACAAGTCCCCCACACTGGGCCCAGAGCACACACTGGGCGTTTGCTCTGAGAACATCTCCCTGGAGGGAGACACCTGTTCCTTCAGAGGGAGAAAAGATTCTGAGCACAGGTGGGCTTCCCCAGCTTCCTGCCAGGGTCACAGCCACAGGGGGCGTTGCCTCTCAGACCCTCCCCACCTTGGGTAAGATGCATTCCCCCCCGTTCCTCCCCTCTGCGGTGTCTCTCTCTGGCTCTCACATAAATAAGTGAAGTCATTCCCTGCATCCCTTCACCACCGGCAGCTGTGCATCAGCCTCCCTCACGGGGGAGAGCTACAGGGGCCAGCACGGGTCCAACAGGACCAAGCTAAGGCAGCAAATGTCATGGGCATATCGGACTGCTGACATGTATCTATTTAACTTTTTATTTTGAAAAAGTTTAAGCCTCACAAGAAGTTGTGAAAACAACACAGAGTACCCTGGTACTGTTCACCCAGCCTCCCCCAATGCCACACAATCGCAGAACACTGAGGCATAAGGTATTTTCACTTTAGGCAAGCATTTTACGTGAAATGGTAAAGTCAGCATTTTATAGCACGCTTAGGTCAACCTGAAATAAGCTGGATAAGGATGCCAAGACTGTGTTACGAGTAGACACCAGTGGGGACAGCTGAGGCCAGTGCCTGCCCAGAGGCTTCTTCCTGCCCAGCATCTTGTATGTGACTGCTGAAGACCCAAAGGCAAGCTTATCCCTCCTTTCCTGTTAGAAAGTAATGTGAGACAGAGACGACCCTTCTACTGAGAGGCAATACTATCTCAGTGAGTTCCAACAGTGGACCAGCCATCAGAATTCACTGATTCATTTTTCACAGGTGTCTGTGACCAGACACTAGGCGAGCTGTCAAAAGTGCGTATCCACAAATGTTCTCTTTCCTTCCTGAGCCCACAGACCCGGGCTGGGTGACACAGGCTTCCCCAAGGAGGCAGGGATTGATAGAGTCAAGGGGACAAGGAAAGCAGGCTGACTGCTTGGTGTAGAAAGAGACTCAGCTTCACTAACTAGAAAATTCTTAGATTTACTATTCAAGATTAGTACAAGAGCTTCATCATGACAATTGAACAAAAGCAGAAAACTTTCTGGGATGATATGAAAACAATGTAATTGTTAGTAGCAAGAAAAATCATAAAAATCAAGCTATCACCCTAAAAGGAGACATGAGACTACAAACTTCAGGGAGAGAACTAAAGGATGTAAATACTTGAAGGGATCTACCGTGTTCTGGATGAGAAATCCAAATAATTTAAAGGGGGAAATTGTTCCCCACTTAACTCACAGGTTTAAAATCCTCTAATAGGATTAGTTTTTGCAAAACTTGAAAAAATTATTTTAATTTCAACTATGGGAATGTATATTATGTATACATCTAATAAATTTTAGAAGGGCAATGAAGAAAAATTTGTCTTAACTCACAACGATCCTGTGATGTTGCAGGGCAAATGTTAGTAGTGGTACCTTCATTTTAATGACAAAGCTGCACAATGTTAACTAATTTGCCCCAAAGTTCACAGCATAAAAGAAGCAGGAGCAGAACTAACTTTTTCAGGTCTCCTCACCTCAAATCCCATAATATTTTCACTGTGTAACATGATTAGAAATATAGTTTTTAAATTCAGGAAACAGCCCACTGACCTCATCAACATATTTTCCAACTCAGTGATTTTGAACCAGTGTGCCATGGCACACAGGTGTTCTGTGAGAGGATCTTAGGTGTGCTATGAAAACTTTTAAAGATCATTAATTAAAATACTCTTTATTTTTTTTGATCAGCATAATATGAGTGTACCACAGAAGTTTAACTATAGTTCAAGTGTGCCCTGAGATTAAAAAAAAATGTTGAAAAACACTGCAGTAACTGATTGGGGGGTGTCTAAGAGACTGGGAAGGATTTTTTGTTTTTTTAGTTTCAATATTGAACAGTCTCACTCTGTCACCTAGGCTGGAGTACAGTGGCATCATCATAGCTTCCTGCAACCTCAACCTCCTGAGCTCAAACTATTCTCCTGTCTGAGCCTCCTGAGTAGCTAAGGCTACAGGTGCCCACCACCATGACTGGCTAAGATTTCTATTTTTGTGTGTTAATGGGGGGGGGTCTCTCCATATTACCCAGGCTGACCTCAAACTCCTGGCCTTAAGCCAACCTCCTGCCATGGATTTCCAAAGTGCTGAAATTATAGGTGTGAGTCACCACACCCAGCTGTTTTTTAATAATTAGTGCTTCAAAAATTAAAGTTTAGTTTGCCCAGTTTATTTCAGTTCAGGGTACAGCTTAATCCCCCTGGATTATCTGTATTACACATGGACCTTGCATTTGCCCTTTGATAACAAGCCAATGTCTTGACAATTTTATGTCTGAATCAAAGTGGCCAAGCATATCAGTGACCTGTTACTGTCGCTTTGAAGAAGCAGCTACCATGGGAATGGCCAGAACTCCTTGGGTAACAGCCAGCAGAGAGACGTGGGCTTCTACACTGTCTGAGACCATCAGTGAGAAAAAACCTGGAGGGCCCCCCTGGGAAGCAGGTCCCTCCACACCATTATCTCCTGCAGGGGCCGAGGAAGCCATGACCATAGTTAGCCTGGTGGGGCCTCCTGGGATGACAGCCATGCCTGGCAGCCCTCCCCAGACCAGCACCACCCCAGGTAAGAAAGGAGGCTCACTCCTTCCCTCCCCCTTTCAAATTAAATTTAGCATTGTCTTGAATATCTTTCTAAATGTTTAAAATATAACCCATGTGCAGACATAAATATAAGGGGCACAGTGATTATTAAGAAAGACTTCCTCCTCCTCCCTTTCACCCTGTTCATCCCATCTTTGAATGAATGAAAGCTCCTGCTTCACGAGGCTCTTCCTCCTCTCTCCTTTATGTAAGCCCATTCCTCAATTTCTTCTCCTTTTCCTTATTTTTCTGTCCATTAAAGGAGTGATGCCTGGAAGTCAACACTATTTCCTCAAGACAGTTTAACCTCCTAATTTTGGCCTAGTATTAATACAATTACATTAATAGCATTATGTTATACATATATGCAATGCGACATAACATACACCTTAGTAACATATGCAAATATTATATACACACTAACATATAAGCGTGTTATAAGGAAGGCCTGAGGTCTACAAAGCAGGAGGGAAATTGTTGAGTGCAATCTAAGTTTTGTATGTGCATATGTATTTATGCGTATGTGCATGTGTGTGTATATAATAAATATGCAAAGAATAGGGCTCGGCGCCCCTGAAACTAAGTGCTTAGGGCACCGGCCACATGCACCAGGGCTGGTGGGTTTGAACCCGGCCAGGGCCTGCTAAACAACAATGACAACAACAACAACAAAAACAACAACCAGATATTGTGGCAGGCTCCTGTAGTCCCAGCTACTGGGAGGCTGAGGCAAGAGAATTGCTTAAGCCCAAGAGTTTGAGGTTGCTGTGAGCTGCAATGCCACAGCACTCTACCAAGGGTGACACAGTGAGACTCCATCTCAACAAATATATATATAAACAGAGAATAGAAAACAAAGCAAAATAGGACTGAAAAGAAATTCATAACATATTAACCTTGTACGTAAGACTGTACCTGGGAAGTACAGTCATACTGATTTTTATTTCTTTATTCCAGCTTCATGAATTTCCCACATTTTCTACTCCTACAAGGAGACAAAAGGTTTCATTTCTTTTTCAAATCTCTTGCTCTGATACTTGCAGTCTGGCCAGAAGCCCTTCTATGCCCGTCAAGGTCAATGGAGGTGAATGGATGGTGACATCCTCATAAGTGTGCTGTCGGTGTCTGTAAACTTGACTTAACTCCCCTCTGAACTATGTTCTCTTCAAGACTTACACGCGTCTTTAATCTCAGGTTCCTGTGAAACTCAGTAGGCAATCAATAAAAGTTGTCAAAATATTGAATTTCTTAAGGAATACAGGGAGGAGTATTGAAATCTTATAGATGTAAATGTGAAGTCTTAACTTGAGGCTCAAAATCTCAATTGCACAAACAGGCCAGGGAGAGCCATTTTGGTAGCTCTGATTACATAGACACCTGACATGATGGCATGGGTTCAGTTGGTTTAGGCATATGTGTGTGTGTGTATGTGTGCGTGTATGTGTTTTTGTGTGTGTGTAGGAAGGTTAAAACTATCGTACTTTAGTTTGGCCAAGTGGATGACAGCAGTCAGCACAGTCCTGGGACTGTGAGCTCTGGTCTCTGTTTCAGACATGGGCTGAAATCTTGGCTTTACTCCCTACCCTGTGTCCTTGGACACTTTCCTTAACCCTCTGAGTCTTGGTTTTCTCACCCATGAAGTGGGAGGTTTCGGACTTTCTATGATGATTAACTTAGACTACGTCTGTCTCAGTGCACGGTGCCCAGAAAGCTCTCAGTCAATGGCAAGTCCCACCACAGCAGTGGCCGCACACTACCCACAGTGGAGGCACTGCTGTTGGCTTCAGGAGACACACTTTGGAAAGGATAGTGGCAAACAAGACACCCTCCAGAGGAGAGTGTGCATGTGCTTTTGTCCTGGGTCCCTTTCAGTTCTGACCCTCTGTGATTGGTAGACAAGCAAACTCTGCATTTGGGTGTGGCTAAGAACTACATAGAAACACGTTCAGGCACAAGCATCCACTGACTCCTATGTTGGGTGCTTAAAGTCCAAAGCATGAAGGGACATCAAAAGAAGACGATAACCCATCCTAAGAAAATGCTAGATTGCTCCAGGGCCGTCCCCCTGCCTGTCATGGTGTCTGTGTGAATGTGTTACATGCTTATCTCTGGTGCTGACACAGTGGTCCACAGGAGTGCAAGCCGTGTTGAATTCAATGTTGCAACACCCAGAAGCCTAGCAGAGAAGCTTCATAAGTAACCAGCAGTATTTCCACTGCGTGAGATGGAGCCAGGTTCTGTGCCCTGCCTGCTGCATGGTCTCACCTCACCCCTTCCCCTCGGTCTCCAGCCACACAGAACTACTCACTGCTCACACGTCAGGGTCTTTGCACATCTGCCTGGAAGGCCCATTCTCTTCACTAACTACTGTGCTACTTGCCCCAGAGTGGATGCCACCTGCCCTGGCCGCACTGGGTGCCCATCATCTGTGCTCGGGTTGTATCTCACCCTCACTCCTTCTTTCCATGTGTCCACATGAGTGAAATCGCCTGTTTGATCTTCTCAGCCCCTCAAAGGGGCCTGCTTTGCTGGTTTTGCCAGAGGCCAGAATCTTGACAGGAATGTCAGAGTTTTGAAGTGGCCCTCAAACCAAGGCTTTACGAACATGCTAAAAAGAGGCCTCCCAGATCTTCCCTGTGCACATCACTCTGAGTACCAGGTACCCCAAACTCACACAAATGTGTGCGCAATTGCTAGGCACTGGAGGTTCTGCCTTCATTGTGGCTACACTTCCACAGCGGTCTTGCATTTCAAGTAGCACTTCAAAACGGTCTTGCACTCCTCAGGCAACAATCATGTTTTTGACATTTTCTTTGACTGCTTTGCCCATCACATGGTAATGATAGCATTCATTTGATTAACACCATTTTTGGAGCAAACATTATACAACACATTGCTACTGTAATTCAATTCAACTTCAAAAAGTAATTCATAGATAATGTCTCTAAAAATGTGTATGCATTATTTTGCAGCCCAGCACTGAGGGGTCGTCTGATGTGTACACCAAGACATTTTCTCTTTGGCCACAAGCCCCGTGTTGGACACTTCTTGTTCCATACCATGACTCTCCCATTCAGCGTCCCCGTCTTACCAGTGTCAGCAGGCTTCCAACCAACCCATCATGCTATTCACAGATACCCGTGGGATTTGCCCATTTCCTCTCTATACTGGGAGCACCTCCATTGCAGTCCTATTTCTCATTCATCCCTGAATCCCTAGCACCCTTCCCAGTACATGGCTTAATCCATACTGGTTGAATTGGGCAGGACTGGAGGCACATGGCTTCCTTTCCTGATCAGGTTCCCCTAGAAAAGATACAGGCTCACCTGTCTTTCATCTCATCCCAGGAACATTCACTCCTGGTACACAGACTCCAAGTCCAACCAAGGCGTCAGCCCCCAAAGATCTACAGACAGGTAAGGACACATCATGGGAGAGAGAAAGTCCCATGAGGGAAACATAGCTTGGGAGGAGGGCCATGGTGGGACAACAAACCAAGTTGGTTCTTATTTAATACTGTATTGGTTCCAGCAGGAAGAAAGGCAGGAGAACTGGTTTAAAGCCTCGCTGTGCTGCTAAATTGCTGTGTGATCTTGCACAAATCACTTCCCCCTTTCTCGGTTACCATTTCCCTATATATTTTGAGAATGCTTTATCCTTAAGGCGTTATGATTCTCTGACTATGTGCATCCCTGGAAGCCATGCCATTTTGACTTTTGGAAGGCCATTCTTGTGCTTTTCAGGTGATCTTCCTGCAGATCGGCCATTCATCCCCAGGGAAGAACCAGTACTGTTCCCAAGACCCCACCACATGTCAAGTGAGTATCAGTGCCCGGTCACCACTATTGCTTGGGCTTATTTTGAACGAGGTTGTGTGGTAGAATAAACTGAGGCTTGTTTGATAAATTTAGAGTCAGAATGCTGGGATTTGAATCCTAGCTCACCCGTTTACTGGTGAGGTGGCCTCTAGCGCTCAGCTTCCAGGATTTACTATCCTCAACCATAAAAGAAGAAGAATTGCAGTTACTGTGGGCCCTAAAAATGTCTGTGCTTTTCTGTCCCTTGGGGTTTTGTATTAAGTAAAATAATGTCTAGGGAAGTGATTTGGAGCTATAAGGCTCTGTATAATATAACTCAGTCATCTTCCACAGAGTGGCATCTACTAAGCAGCGTGCCCGTCACTTTGCAACAGAAGTTGCTCTTACTGTGAGCACAGTGGCTGGCAGAGAGGAGAGAGGGAATAAAAGAGGACTCCAAAACCCAGCCCCATCGTCTGGGTGTGGCTTACCATTGCTCTGTGTTAAAGGACACTGAATTCTTGTAGAGCGGAAGAACAATTATTTTCAGGGCCTCTCGTGGGTTTTCAGAACGCCAGATAGAGGCTCAGGACTGACTTTCTGTGGCTTTGCTGCATAGAGGCTCAGGACTGACTTTCTGTGGGCTTGCTGCATAGACAGGCTTAGGACTGACTTTCTGTGGCTTTGCTGCATAGACAGAGGCTTAGGACTGACTTTCTGTGGCTTCGCTGCATAGACAGAGGCCCGGGACTGACTTTCTGTGGCTTCGCTGCATAGACAGAGGTTCGGGACTGACTTTCTGTGGCTTTGCTGCATAGACAGAGGCTCAGGACTGACTTTCTGTGGCTTCACTGCACAGACAGAGGCCCAGGACCGACTTTCTGTGGCTTCGCTGCACAGACAGAGGCTCAGGACTGACTTTCTGTGGCTTCGCTGCACAGACAGAGGCTCAGGACTGACTTTCTGTGGCTTCGCTGCACAGACAGAGGC